ATCCTCGCTGCTTTGATATCCTCGTCAGTTCCACCAGTAGTTGAAACGATGCTCCCCAGGTAGGTAAAAGAGGTTGTTTCTTTCAGACTCCTCCCATCTATGCTGATTGTTGTCTGTTGTTGTTGTTGATGTTGGTGGTGTTGCCCAGGAATCTTCATCACCTCTGTTTTCTCTATGTTCACCTGAAATACCTATCTTTGATGCTTCTTCTACGAACTTGTTGCTTTTCGCTTGCATATCTTCTAGTTTGTGGGAAATCAGACATATTTCATCGGCGAAGTCCAGATCCTCCAAGTTTTTTGTGTGAGTCCATTTTATGCCTGTTTCCTCATTGCCCGCTGTTTGTCGCATTATCCAGTCTACTGCAATCAGGAAAATCATTGGCGATAGTAGACAGCCTTGTCTTACTCCTGTTCTCACTTCGAAGGATTCCGTAAGTTTCCCGTTGTGGATTACTTGGCATGCAGCATTGTCATACAGCTGTTGGGTGAGATGTATAATTGTCGGTGGCACCCCATAGTAGCGAAGTATTTGCCAAAGCACAGACATTAGTATATGCTTAAACACAGGAATACAATTCCAATCTAGATTTAGTTTAAATGCTTAGGACACAGCTGACAATATGTCGCTTCACAGAAATGTAAGATTTTCAAACACTGCATTACATATATCGCTGAATTAATCTGAAAACAATTCCAATAGTGGTGTGAACACGGGAAGTAATTTTGCTCGAAATATTACCAATAACAAAACTTATCATTGTGTAAACTATTGAAATATAATTATACTTTATTTATTCTGAAGAAATTGTTACTTAGTTTTGATGGTGGTCAGTGGATAAGCAAACATAGGGAATTTTGTGGGCTGTGCACTGGGCTACAACTCATACACATAACTGATTGAATTTAGCCTTTTTAACATGAAAACAGATGTGACTTGGTTTAGACCCACATAAGCTGTTAATCTATCAATAAAGAATACAAATGTGAACAAGGAAGATCAGTTTTATGGACGATATTCACTCTCATTTTGAAAAGTAAAACGTATAGTTTAGTATTAACTCTTCAAACATTACTATTTACATAGGGTGTAATTGTGTTCACTGAGCTGAATAGTTTAGTTGCGTAGCTTACATTGACGTTCCAAACAGCATCTTCAGTGCAGACTAGAGAGTGAGCAAATCCACAGAAAAAAAAACCAATCACCTTCAAGGTGAGCTGATAAACTTGTGGAGAATTCATAGAGCTTACTTAATATTGAAGTCTCTAAAGGTGTTGTTGCCTAGAAAGACAGTGAAAGCTTCACTGATAAACTATCTAAGAGAACACAAGTAAACCAATATCATCCACCTGAGCTACAAATCTTCTCTAACATATTATTATTATTCTTTCCTTTACTTCCTAGAGGAACATAGGGCTTCAGCCACACGTCTCCATTGCGTTCGGTTCTCCGCCAACGTTCTCACCCAGCTCCACGTCTGCCCACTTCCTTTCATCTCCTCTTCACACGACCTTCTCCATGTTACCCCCGCACTGAAGACCAACTTGCCACTTCCCTTTCGGGTTCCATTCGAGCAATGGCTTGGCGTGTGATGTCACTTGATGATTTGTTTTCCCAGAGTATGGCCAATCCACCTTCATTAACTCCTGCATGTTTGCTGCACATTTGGTTCCTGCTGGGTTGGTTCGTTCATTGCCAGAGATCCCTCCATATTGCCGATGTTTTCTGGCCGGCCATCTGATCTTGAGTAGTATTGAGCGAAGACAGCTGTTCATGAATGTCTGTAGTTTGTTCGAAATGCCCTTATGACGCGGCGCAAAGTCTCTGATCCGTATAGTAGCACTGACTTCACATTGCAGTTGGAAATCCGGATATTATTTTCATTTTCATGTTGAGTGCTGTTGATATCCACATAGACTTGAGAGTAATGAAAGCTTGCCTTGCCTTCCCGATCCTCGCTGCTTTGATATCTTCATCAGTTCTATCCGTCTGTAGTTAAAACGTAGGTGGGCAAAGGAGGTTGCTTCTTTCAGATTTCTCCAATTTGTGCTGATTGTTGTCTGCCATTGTTGCTGTTGTACTTGGCCAGGAATCTTCATCGCCTCTATTTTCTTTTTGTTCATCTGAAGTCCTATCTTTGATGTTTCTTCTATCTCCAACTTGTTGCTTTTCACTTGCATATCTTCCAGTTTGCGAGAAGTCAGGCATCTATCATCGGCGAAGTCCAGATCCTCCAAGTTTTTAGTGGGGGTCCATTTCATGCCTGTCTACTCGTTGCCCGCTCTCTGTCGCATTATCCAGTATACCGCAATCAGGAAATGCATTAGACGTAGTAGACAGACTTCCTTGTCTTACCCCCGTCTTCACTTCGAATAATTCCGTGAGTGTCCTGTCGTGGATTACTTGGTATTCAGCATTATCGTACAACTGTTGGATGAGGTGTATAACCGTTGGCGGCACCATATTACTGTTTATTAATTAAACAATGCCCAACACATCAAAGTGTATGAACAGATTATACATAAAGGCTGATTATTAACCCTGAAAATGAAATTGATTTTTTGACTGATAAAACGCTGCAGAGTAAAAATATGCAATAATAACTATATTTCACTTAGTCATCTGTGCAATACAAGAAACTTGACTTGTAATGCTACACCAAACTCAATAAAATACCTGAGTTTCAGTCGGAAGCTATAGTTTAAAGCTATACTCTGAACAGTTCTTGAGCAGTCTAGTAGGTGAGTTAGCCCTTACATATAATATATAGTGGACTGAATCATGAGGCAGGCCGTGGAGAGCCAAAAGACAGGAATACGTTGGGCCGACAAAATGACTCTAAAAGATCTCGATTTTGAGGACCACTTATGTCTAATGTCACAAAAACTCAAAGATTTACAGGTGAAGACCTACAAGTTGGCAGAAGAAGTAGTGAAAGCAGAACTTCAGATGAACATAAAGGGGGTGGCGAACGAACACCAATCACTATCAACAGAAATTTGAAGAAAGTAACTTCTTTCATTAATCTAGCTATGCAGCATCGTTCCAACTACAGGCGGATGGCACAGATGAATATTTCGAAACCAGCCAGGATCAGAAAGGCAAGACAGACTTACATCACTTTGAAATCAGTTTGGACATCTACTACACTAGACATGAAGAACAAGACTCAGATTTTCTACATTAATTTCAAATAGGTTCTTCTATATGGTTCAGAAACTTGGTGCGTAACGAAAAGCATTTCTAACACAAGCTGCAGACTTCTATCAACAGCTGCCCACCTTCGTCGGTTTCATACTGAAGATCAGATGAGCGGTCAGAAAGGAATAGCAACCGGGAAATCTTGGAACAAACCAATCAAGAAGGTATTGCTTAACAAATATACCGGAAAAAATGTAGACAGATGGGATACACGTTGACATTGTCCGCCGGGCCATCACTCGTCTGGAATCCGAGTAAGAAACAACGAAGTGGGTAAGGATGAGAGAGTGACATGAAGGAGATTGTATGTAGAATAGATGAGAGCTTATGAGCAATTCTGTAGCCCACGAAAGACGACTGCAGAGGATAGGATGAAATGAAGATGTGCTATTGAAGTTTTATTTTCCACTCGGAGCCTTAGGGAATAATAATAGTGTGGTAAGAGCCGTCTGCTAGCCAAATTGTAGACAACAATTCACGTCAATGTTTACGTCCCAAATCAGGGTCATGAGAAAAACAATAACAAAGCCTGACCTTGAGGAACTCAACAACCAATCACAGCAGACTTAACGTGTGCAAATACGATTCGCAGATATATGGACTGACTTTCTGAGAAACGGTCACAAACAGATGACAGAATAACCTTCAGCAAGAAAACAGCTAATCAGAAGACGCTGTTTCTCTGCTAATAATAGCAAATAATAATGTAGATAAAAATCTATAAATATCTGTTGATTTTCTCAATAAATGATCTGTTGCCTGGCCCTTGTCTTCTGTCGTTACAATAATAATAATAATATAAGAGCCAAGTTTACATATCTGCATATGTTTACAAAGTTGTGTCAATATGCGTACAAACCCAACATTAAAAACTTGATTTCTACTTTGTTTCATATAAGTGCAATTAAGTAGTATGTCGTCCATTTTTGACAAAAACAAGCAAAAAATAGTAGAGAAGCTTAATTTTTACAAGATGAGGTTTAATCAATTTAAAGGTTATTTTCTTTTCACATAGAAATAATTGTTTCATTTTCACCTGACACTATTTTAATGTGCTTCACTATCGAGTATTTGTTTAAATCAACTGAAGATAAGAAAAGTTCTCATCGATCATGTTACCATAACGAAAACTATACACTAGATAATATTGTCACAACGTAAACCAACTACCCATGATACATACCACCATATACTCCAATAATCAAAAAAAATTATCAATAGGCAACAAAATTTCTAGCATGCAGGAAAAAGATAAAGCAGTGAACTTGAACAACAACAAAAAACGTAATGGCTAATCAATAAATCAAATTAATCTGATGCTCATTAGTGATTGGTTAGAGGAGGGAGTTGCCTGAAGTTCTAGTGAGAAGTCGTGACCAGTGGCGTTCATCACCAGGCCGGCTATGAGGACAGATACTCACTGATGACATTAGCAAGCGATGGCGCTAAAACTCGCAAATGAACAGAAGTTAGAATTCATGACCTGTTGGTTTCCATCCCAGTGGCTGAATGGTCGTTCACCGAGGTCCCGTCGTAATCTGAAGATCCTAAGTTTGATTGCCCGTGAGATCATGGATACTTACAGCTGAAAAGTCCCAAACTAGAGCGAAACAACTGTCCAGTACTCCGTCCTGGCTTTCAATGGTTCTCTAACTGATATCAATCCATCATCAAACATGAAACAAATCATTTCTCCATACACTGACATTCAAAAAAGTAAATGAACAGGAAAGCCCTAAACATCTTTTTCAAAAAAAACATCAAAAGAAAGCAACAACAAAATTGTTTTGTTAACTTACTCCATGATAGGTAGGAGAAAATTCTTAAAGTTAACTCGGCCGGTAACCAGGTAACAAAATCACAACAATCCGGCATACGATGACATGATGAATGAAGGTGTGTAGCTAAGCGTAAACTCTCAAAATGTCCAATAGTTGTTAAACCCTTGAGAATAAAAAAAATAAATGAAATATGCAATAATAATAATAATAGCTACTTTATTTATTTTTTTTTAAAACGTGCACAACAGATAACTCCCAAATTCTTCATTTTACAAAATGATCAGTATTACTGCAGTGATAATTAACTTATGAGTATGTATATTACGGTAAATATTAAGGCACCTTTATTTCATCAAAAAAAGTTGTTATACGAAGTGCTCGAATTTCGACAGTGTCAAATATCCAGATCGCTGAGATCCTGAACCTATTGCTGGTTTCAGAAGATTAAGCTTAATAAATAGAAGACTGTGCGCTGTAACCAACGCGGAACAACAGAAAACGTTTGGGCAACACGAATATTTATTCTTCAAGCGATAACGACACAGATTTACAGTGGTTAATCAATGCTAAAGTCTGTAAATAAACGTTAATATAATTAATATGCAAGAATACTTCTGTTCGTGTTTGTCCAATCTTCTGCCAACCAGTACACGATTGAGCAATGACAACCTTCTTGTCACCCATCAATGGAGACCAGTTCGAATAAACAAACTATTTAAAGTTCACCAACATTGATAGACAGCATAAATAATCACAAGTATATGCATATACATACCCCCAGTAAATGGAAGAAACTGATACGTAAGCTCAGAAAATCTAAGACAGGCTCCTCTTTCTGTTCTCTTCCAATAAATCTAGTTGGGTATTACTATTATTATTGTTCTTTTGAGTTCCGAGTGGTACAGAGGGCTTAAACAACACACGTCCACTTTGTCCTGTTCTCTGAATTCCTCTTCATCTGACTCCACAATCGCCCATAGTCTGTCATTTCCTTTTTGCACAATCCTATCCATGTCATCCAAAGACCCATGCCCGATTCGCAGCTCCCCATTCCGATTCAATACGAGTGATGGCCTGGAGTGTGATGTTACCCAACGGTCTCGTCACCATGTGTCCAATCCATCTCTATATTCTTCTACATGAGTTGGTTCGTTCCCAGAGTTCCTTGTTTCCAACACTTTCTCGTTGCCTATCTGAACTTCAGAGAGAAAGCTAAAGAAGGAAGTGTATCTGTGGACTTTTGACTGAACTAACAAATATTCTACTTGGGAAACGGGAATCAATCTGGCTGCAGGGAATATCCCAGTCAGTGATTCCACAACTCGTCTGTTGACTATCCCTGCAATGTTGTCACCATTCAATTTTAGGTGAACATATACAGATTTTTTATTCACTCTAGTATTTTTTTTCTATTCGGGTCGCAGTGGCTTAATGGTCTACGAGCTCGCTAGCCTTGTAACCAGAAGGTCCTGGGTTCGAACTCCGTCGGTCAGTGGGTGCGTACTGCTGAAGCGGAGTCCCAAACTAGGACGAAACAGCTATCCAGTACTCCCAAGTTTTCCAATGCTTCTCTAACTGATGTCAGCTCATGATGAAACACACTCCAACCAATATTTGAGTTTTATTTCATTAATAAAAGTTGTTGCAGTAACTGACCGAATTCTGACAGCAGAAACAATCACAAGCATATGCACACACACACATACCTCAGTAAGTGGAGGAAACTGACACATAAGTGATACGAACTAACCATGAAGGAAAAGAGGATATGGCTTATTAGTGAACGAAAGTATAAACAAAATTTCAGATTCACACATTCTTTTTCGTTGTCTTCAACTCGTTAATGCAATGTGATGATGGATGACTTAGTCTAAAAGTAGACTACACGCTTGGTATTAGTCAACTTCTAACAACAACAATAATAACAATAATAATAATACTAACGACTACAAAATGGTGTCAGACGACGCATTCAGTAATACACATTTAGCGTGATTCTTTTTTGGATAAAAATCGAAAAGAAACCTAAAGATTATTTAACTTCAAATCTAAGTAAAAATGGGGAAAAACTGCTGCATAAATTTATTTTTAGAAACAGAAAAAATGAACTGAAAGGAAATGTGAAAATACACCCAAAGAAATTCGTAAAGAGCAGAGAAAAAACTACACTTTTTTTGCTTCACTACTGGACAGAAAAATAAAGTACTAAGTAAAACTCGTTTAGTAAATGATAAAGAATTGTCTATAGTTTCCTGGAGTTCTAGTGAGAAGTTGTGACCAGTGAGGTCCATCCAGTCAAGTGTGAGGATGGATGTCCCACCGATGACATTGGTTGGTGGTTGCGCTAAATCACGAATTGGTAGAAGTTAGAATTCATGGACTGGCCAGTGAATCGGGTGCGTTCCAGTGGCTGAATGGTATACGAGCTTGCTTTGTAACCGGAAGGTCCTGGGTTCAAACCTTAGCGGTGGGTGCGTACTGCCGATGATTCCCAAACTAGGATGAAACAGGTGTCTAGTACTCCCTGTTGGTTTTCAATGGTTCTCTAACTGATATCAATCCGTGATCAACTCGTAAAAGATGAAGAATTGTGTCAGAAGATTTTCAGTCGAGTAATTTTCACTTGAGACAATAACTAAAAAGACACTCACACTGTTTTACAATTAAATATAAACCACCAATTAACTGCCCTTTAGGCTGGAAATTAGCCAAACAACATGGAAAACAAATGGTGAAATTAATGATCACGGATGCACATAATAGGATTAAAAAATACCAGCATATGATTAGATTCCATAAAGAAAAAGTTGAACAGACTCTTACGCCAGAACATCTGTCAACATTGAATACTGCCATTAAAATAGTATGCGAACGACACAAAGAACGAAGACGAGTCGCCCTCAAAGGAAAACTAGCTAAGATATCCAAACAACCATCTGAAGAAACTCTAAATGATTGCGTAGTAAATCTATCAAAACAACCATTATCAAAAGCAGAAGAACAACTTCTTCAGAAAGGACTCAACTACAATACTGGTGACGCTTCAGTAACAGATTTTTGTGCTTCCTTAGAATCATCACTCAAATTATCAAAACTAAATGAGGAAGTACAACAAGAAGTACGTCAATGTATCATACCTATACTCAAACAGAAAAGACATAATTCCCAACTTAGCACTGAAGAGCAAAATGCATTGAAGAAACTGAAGAATAGAAAAGATATAGTTATTCTACCGGCTGATAAAGGAAGAACAACAGTAATCCTGGACACAGAAGACTACATAAAGAAAGCAGAGGATTTACTCAAAGATAATAATGTATATCAACAGTTGACAAAAAACCCTATACAAACATTAGATAACAAAATCAAAACAACGTTAAATAAACTAACGAAATCAGGACAAATTACAGAACAAGATCAATGGCGAATGAAATCTAACGGACCTATTTTACCTCGATTCTACGGTAGACCGAAACTACACAAACCAAACATTCCCTTACGACCAATCGTTTCGCTGCCAGGAACACCAACATATAATCTATCTAAAGAACTTTTCAGGAAATTAAATTACCTAACAGAATCATGCGACCATTCTATCAATTCGTCAATCCAATTTTTAGAGAAAATCAAAAACGTTCAAGTAGAAGACAATGAAATAATGGTGTCCTTTGATGTCACAGCATTATATACTTCAATTAGTCCAAAACTAGCAACAAAAATTATGAAGCAATTACTCTATAGTGATGAAAACATAAAAATGCAATATTCAACTTGGATAAAACTCATAGAATTATGCCTTACAACATACTTCCAATTCAATAATCAAATATACGAACAGATAAAAGGAACACCAATGGGATCGCCCACATCAGGATTAATAGCTGAAGCCGTTATGCAAAGATTAGAATTAATAGCTCTACCTATAATTAAACCGAAAATCTGGATACGTTACGTTGATGATACATTTGTAATAATTAAGAGAAATGATTTAGAATATACTCACAAATTAATAAACAACATATTTGAAGACATCAAATTCACGAGAGAAGAAGAATTAGATAACAAAATCCCATTTTTAGATGTCTTAATCAGGAGAACCAACACAGGAGATTTAGAGACACAAGTTTATAGAAAATCAACGCACACAGATCAAATACTCAACTATTCTAGCAATAATCCAGTTACTCACAAACGAAACTGTGTGCAGACATTGTTTAAAAGAGTTCAGACACATTGCAGCACTCCAGAGCTGAAAAGAATGGAAGAAAAGTACCTACAAACGGTCTTCAAAAAGAATGGTTATCCACAAAATTTCATCAAAAAGTGTTTAAAGTCGAGTCAGAACACCAACAAGAAACCATCATCTAAGACCACAAGGAAATTCATTCTACCATACATGAGGAACATCTCTGAAATAACAGCTAGAGTACTGAAACCGTTTGATATAGATATAGCACACAAGCCAGTCAAATCGCTTAATTCGATATTATGCAAACCGAAAGATCCAACAGAAAAAGGGGATAAAATAAATACCATCTACAAAATAAATTGTATGAACTGTAACAAGCATTATATCGGCCAAAGTGGGCGTCCCCTTCGAATCAGAATCCAAGAACATAAATCAGCCGTGAAAAGACATGATATGAATTCTTTAGTATCAATGCATGCAGACAACTATGGTCATCAGTTTGATTGGGATCATGTCAAAATCTTAAACAGAGGAAACACGAAAAGTGCCAGAGAATTCCTAGAGGCCTGGTACTCAAGCGAAAATGCGATTAACAAACACGTTAATATAGATGAAGTATACCAATTAATAAAAAGTAAATCAGGTGACCAAAAAGTTTAAAATCCTAGTCAATAGAAAGTGGTCAATACATATGTGAAGATAGTAACCAGGAGACGCAATTACATCATGCATGAGAAAATTTAAATCACTTCACTTCGTGATAAATATGGCGCTGAAGATGTTGTCCGGAAGGACGACGAAAGCTTCGCGATTAAACCAACCAGCTCAGAGAACGCTTTTAATTGTAAATCATCCACCTGAGCTACAAATCTTCTCTATTATTTCACACTCACACTGTATCAATATAAGATATATAAATATCATTGATATAAGAATAGCACTAAGTAGCACAAAAAAAGACCTAAACGACGAGA